CATGATCCCTGGTATGCGATAAATAGGCCCAACACCGTAGTATGAGAAACATCCCCATATCATGATGCTTGCGCAACCATGCTTCACTGTCTTCACAGTGTACTGTGGCTTGAATTCAGTGTTTGGGGGTCGTCTGACAAACTGTCTCCGGCCACTAGACCCAAAAAGAACAATCTTACTTTCATCAGTCCACAAAATGTTGCGCCATTTCTGTTTAGGCCAGTCAATGTGCTCTTTGGCAAATTGTAACCTCTTCAGCACATGTCTTTTTTTTAACAGTGGAACTTTGCGGGGGCTTCTTGCAGATAGCTTGGCTTCACATAGGCGTCTTCTAATTGTAACAGTACTCACAGGTAACTTTAGACCTTCTTTCATCTTCCTGGAGCTGATTGTTGGCTGAGTTCTTGCCATTTTGGCTATTCTTCTATTCATTCGAATGGTAGTTTTTCGCTTTCTTCCACATCTTTCAGGTTTTGGTTGCCATTTTAAAGCATTTGCGATCATTTTAGCTGAGCAGCCTATCATTTTCTGCACTTCTTTATATGTTTTCCCCTCTCCAATCAACTTTTTAATCAAGGTACACTGTTCTTCTGAACAATGTCTGGAACGACCAATTTTCCTCAGAATTTCAGAGAGAAATGCACTGTAGCCAGCATGTACAACATTTGCTGCCTTCCTTCCTTAAATTAGGGCAATAATTGCCACCTGTTTTTCAAAGAATGAATGACCTCACTAATAGAACTCCACACTGCTATTATTTTGAACATGCCCCTTTCAATTAGTGATTCAATTACACAGAATCAGCAGCATGCATGTAATGACTGTTGGGTCTGTTGGATTTATATTCCTCTTCTACACCTGCTAGTAAATTATTTGCCATGTAGAAATATAATTTCTACCAAAAACAGTGATTGATCAGGTTAGTGATGTCTGACTGCTATAATTTTGAACACAGCTGTACCTGAAGTTTAGTAGTACATTTTTTAAGGTGTATCAGAACCTTGGGTGGTTCATTCTTTTTCTTTTTTCAGGCTTTTGTATTTTCATTTTCACCTACTGATCCTGCTGATAACATTCTTTCTGTCTTTGGGTGAAAACACTCACTCACTTTACTGTATCTATGGAGGAAAAGCATTGTCCTCTAGAACAGAAGGTGTTTTAGGACTACAGAATACCTCCCTCTCTCCCCATCTACATAACCTAGGTGGAGGTGTTCTATAGTTCACAGATATAAATGGGAACAATGATGACTGCTAAGTATTTTTTTTGCACTTATAGAACAAAATATAACACTTCTAATGGCAATATTTAACAGACCAAAAAGGAGTGTAGGGACCCTACTTTATGCTGGAGTCCCTAGTCCAAATGCAATGCTTGTAGTTAGGCCAGCAAGAGCTCTGTTTGTTTACATTATCTGAGTTTGTCAGATTTCTCCCAAGTCCAAGGACATAGTTTGATTCTACCTGCTACTGTTGGGTGCTCTCTAGTAGGTAGAGCAAAAAGATACTTTGTGCTGGGCTATACAAATTTTACTATGGCCATCCAAAGAGGAGTGTTTGCCAGTGATATGGGATGGGAAGGGGAATACATTTTTAGGTAGACCTTCCAGAAAGCCCCTTACGTTCCTGGCTTTGCCTGGAGAGCAAGTATGTGAAGGATGTGAGTCCAGAGGACCCTGTCTTCCAGGTTAGCACCCTTAGGTGGGTATAGCTGCTGAGAGGCTCAATCCATGCTTCTCAGGACCTTTCTGGGTAAGGAAGCTAAAGAAGAGTCAATTGCTCACCTGTGCGTAAATGTGCACAAATAGCCTGTAAGAGGGGCTGAGGAGGGAACTTTTGTTGCTGTCTTTGGATATACTGTACCCAAAACCCTCTCTCCTCTGGCCAACTGAGCCAATAACATGGCATAGGGAAAACTGATGGAGTGGAAGTCCATCAGTTGTTGGGTCAGTAAGTGTCAGGGTGGCTAATCACCAGTAGGAAGGCAGGGGAGCCTGTTAAAAATCCTGATAGCTCCTTCTGGAGTCATTTCTACACATGAAAATAAGAGAAATTCATTAATTGCAGAAGTACACAAAGCTACATCATTTCCTAGCGTGCTTATGGTGGTAGATTGATCAGTTCTTTCCCAAAATATAGACACAGACACATTTCAGTAGAATAGCATATGATTTTTTTTTACTCATACAACAATCACATGCACAGCAGTCTATATCATCGCTTAAAAACATTTTTCACCTATGCTGTTATAGGTGAAATTACTAAGTGTTTCCTTTGGCATCCAAGACCAGTAGAAGGTCAAACTTGTATGTCTGCTCACAAGCACAACACGGTTTGTTATTTCCAACACAGATCCCCTGCCTAGTTACTTGTTCCCACTCTGTGTTTCCTCCACATATTGACTGCTTCCATGTTTCAGTCCTCCAAGTAACCTGAGAATCCAGAGAATCACTGTAAACAGATGATAAAATCTGAATAATGTAGATTTCTGTGTGTTAAACAAAACCATTTGCTATGGTATACAGAATATAATATCACAGATATAATTCCAAACCAGGTTTTACTTGATTGGCTTCTTCAGGAGCTATGGCTGTAGGACAGACATATAGCCATGGTTCCCCAGTAATGCCACAGCAGGCATATACAGGTGAAACTCTAAAAATTTGAATATTGTGCAAAAGTCAATTTATTTCAGTAATGCAACTTAAAAGGTGAAACTAATATATGAGATAGACTCATTACATGCAAAGCAAGATAGTTCAAGCCGTGATTTGTCATATTTGTGATGATTATGGCTTACAGCTCATGAAACCCCAAATCCACAATCTCAGAAAATGAGAATATTACATGCAATCAATAAAAACAAGGATTGTAGATAGAACAATATCGGACCTCTGAAAAGTATAACCATGCATATGTACTCAGTTCTTGGTTTGGGCCCCTTTTGCAGCAATTACTGCCTCAATGCGGCGTGGCATGGAAGCTATCAGCCTGTGGCACTGCTGAGGTGTTATGGAAGACCAGGATGCTTCAATAGCGGCCTTCAGATCATCTTTCTCTTGACAATGCCCCATAGATTCTCTATGGGGTTCAGGTCAGGTGAGTTTTCTGGCCAATCAAGCACAGTAATCCCACGGTCATTGAACCAGGTTTTGGTGCTTTTGGCAGTGTGGGCAGGTGCCAAGTCCTGCTGGAAAATGAAGTCAGCATCCCCATAAAGCTCGTCTGCGGAAAGAAGCATGAAGTGCTCCAAAATCTCCTGGTAGACGGCTGCGTTGACCCTGGACTGAATGAAGCACAGTGGACCAACACCAGCAGATGACATGGCTCCCCAAATCAACACGGACTGTGGAAACTTCACACTGGACTTCAAGCATCTTGCAGTGTGTGCCTCTCCATTCTTTCTCCATACTCTGGGTCCTTGGTTTCCAAATGAGATGCAAAAGTTGCTCTCATCAGAAAAGGACCAGTTCTGTTTTTCTTTAGCTCAGGTAAGACGCTTCTGACGTTGTTTGTTGTTCAGGAGCAGCTTGACAAGAGGAATACAACATTTAAAGCCCATGTCCAGGATCCGTCTGTCTGTGGTGGCTCTTGATGCACTGACTCCAGCCTCAGTCCACTCCTTGTGAAAGTCCCCAACACTTTTGAATGGCCTTTTCCTGACAATCCTCTCCAAGCTGCGGTCATCCCTGCTGCTTATGCACCTTTTTCTTCCACACTCTTCCCTTCCACATAACTTTCTATTAATGTGCTTTGATACAGCACTTTGCAAAAGAAGTTGGATGTTCCCAATTACCTTTTGAGGCTTTCCCTCCTTATGGAGGGTGTCAATGATGGTTTTCTGCACAACTGTCAGGTCAGCAGTCTTTCCCATGATTGTGATTCCTACTGAACCAGACTGAGAGACCATTTAAAGGCTCAGGAACCCTTTGCAGGTGTTATGGCTTAATTAGCTGATTAGAGTGGGACACTTTGAGCCGAGAATATTGCACCTTTTCACAATATTCAAATTTTCTGATATTGTGGATTTGGGGTTTTCATGAGCTGTAAGCCATAATCATCACAATTATGACAAATCATGGCTTGAGCTATCTTGCTTTGCATGTAATGAGTCTATCTCATATATTAGTTTCACCTTTTAAGTTGCATTACTGAAATAAATGAACTTTTGCACATTATTCTAATTTTTTCGAGTTTCACCTGTACATATACTATATTGCCAAAAGTATTGGGACACCTGCCTTTGCACGCACATGAACTTGAATGGCATCTCAGTCTTTGTCCGTAGGGTTCAATATTGAGTTGGCCCGCCCTTTGCAGCTATAACAGCTTCAACTCTTCTGGGAAGGCTGTCCACAAGATTTAGGAGTGTGTCTATGGGAATGTTTCACCATTGTTACAGAAGAGCATTTGTGAGGTCAGGCACTGATTTTGGACGAGAAGGCCTGGCTCACAATCTCTGCTCTAATTCATCCCAAAGGTGTTCTGTTGGGTTGAAGTCAGGACTGTGTGCAGGCCAGTTAAGTTCCTCAACCCAAAACGCGCTCATCCATGTCTTTATGGACCTTGCTTTGTGCATTGGTGCGCAGTTATGTTGGAATAGAAAAGGGGCCATCCCCAAACTGTTCCCACAAAGTTGTGAGCTCAAAATTGTCCAAAATATCTTGGTATGCTGATGCCTTAAGAGTTCCCTTCACAGGAACTAAGGGGCCAAGCCCAACCCCTGGAAAACAACCCCACACCATAATCCCCCCTCCACCAAACTTTACACTTGGCACAATGCAGTCTGGCAAGTACCGTTCTCCTGGCAGCCGCCAAACCCAGACAAGTCCGTCAGATTGCCAGACAGGGCAGCATGATTCGTCACTCCAGAGAACACGTCTCCACTGCTCTAGAGTCAAGTGGCGCCAAGACACCACTGCATCCGACATTGCGCTCTATGCATTGTTGTGCTAATCTGAAGGCTATGCAGAGTTTGGAGGTCTTTAGATATTGATTCTGCAGAGAGTTGGCGACTTCTGTGCACTGTATGCTTCAGCATGCACTGACCCCGCTCTGTGGCCTACCATTTCGTGGTTGAGTTGCTGTTGTTCCCAGTTGCTTCCACTTTGCTATAATACCACTAACTGTGGAATATTTAGTAGCAAGGAAATTTCATGGATGGACTTATTGCACAGGTGGCAACCTATCACGCTTGAATTCACTGAGCTCCTAACAGCAACCCATTCTTTCACAAATGTTTGTAGAAGTAGTCTGCATGCTTAGTCACTTGATTTTATACACCTGTGGCCATGCGGGTGATTGGAACACCTGAATCCAATGATTTGGAAGGGTGTCCCAACTTTTAGCAATGTAGTGTATCCATAGCAGCAGCAACTGTCTAATGCTTTTATTGTATTATTGTTATGTGACATTTGTGTGTTTTCTTTGACCATTATATGATGTTAGGTAATGGCAGAAAAAATCTTACTGTCTTGCTCCTGATTGCTGAATATGCAATTAAATACTTTGCACAATTACATTTACCTGTCACATGCCAGATGAATGGGCCCTGTGCGGCTCAGAATGTTGCACTTGTTTGTAATTTGATCTTTCTTCGACAAAAAAAGTTCAGACTTATTTGAATATCTGTGACATGCTGGTGTTGTGCGTGTTCCAGTATCCAGCTCGTGGTCACTGCAGCTCCAGTATCCATCTGGTAGTACTTTTAAGAGCTCACTCCAGGGACATGTGCAATGGGAATATGTACTGTATCATTGCCAACACACATCCCACTTAATGCAATGGTTCATTATAATATAAAAGCAAGCAAGTAAAAAAGTGACAGTTAGGCTACGTTTACACTAGCCTTGTTAGCAAGCGGCAGACAGGCGTTTGGGAAGCGTTTTTACCGTTTCCCAAACGCCTGGGAAAATTCTGCACATTGCAGCACATAGTGCTGTTCAAACAGGTGCGTTAGCGTTGCGATCACAGCAAAACAGATGCCTCTGGTCGAGTCAGGAGGAGTTGAAGCCTGCTATTCAAGTCTATGGTGCCGCTCCGCAAATACCCAGCCGGCATTTGCGGTGCAGTTGCGAGGCATTTGCAGAGTGATAACACCATTCAAACTTCATTATAGGTGTTTTTGTGGGGCTTTTTAACGCTTGGCAAATGCCTAGCAACCGCTGCTAAACCGCACATGCGGCATTTGCGGAGTGTTTGCAGAGCGTTAAAAAACGCTCCGCAAATGCCGGACCAACACTTGTCAAACGCTATAGGGGCGTTTGGCAAGAGTTGGAAAAACAGTCACGTGTGAATGAGCCCTTATACATAAAAATAATGAATTCAGCTTTACAGCAATAACTATTTTTCTTCTAAGTTTTATTTATTTTGGATGCAACAGTTTGAATTTCATTTTACAGACAACCACATAGGGGCCTAAGCATGGAAAATGTGCGAAGAAGTAAAAAGCTTGCTGTCTGTAAGAATCCTTGATCCAATTTCAGGACTACAGAAATAAAAATTGGGAGCTGGTTGACTTATGTGGACAACAGCTTCTCTTATATAAGCCCCATAATTCAGAGTTGAATCATTTCTCTAAAATCTGAAGTACCAGGTTTCATTTTTTTTCTGTCATTATTAATGCAACTATAAAGAATAAAGAAAAATGTTACAAACACACCTACAGCAGATCAATCTCAAGAACCCAGTTAATAACAATAATGTTTAAAGCATAGATGAACAATTACTTACTGTTAACAACATTTTGTTATAGCTTTTAGGCCTTTTTTATTCTCATTTGATGTGGCAATGCAATTGTTATGACTCTATGATATAGTATACAAAATGATTGCAAATGATTTAGTATTGGCTGGCTCCTAAAGTTTACTGAACTGTTACCCATGGTGAAAAAGGCATATTCAAAAATTCAGTAGATAAAGTATATAAAGCTTAAGTTGTATGCAAAACTTTACTTTTTCAGTAACAGTGAAGTTGGCCCCTCTCCACTGATCCTTCCTATTAGTAGGTGAGGCCACTAATTGCATTGGATGAGGCTCAAAAGGTGAAGACCAAGCTTGACTCTAACAGTGATATTTGAAATGAACATTTGAATTGCTTATGTTTGTATTATATTTGATTTAAAGTGTAACTATGGGCAAAATAAAAAGTTACATACAGTATGTGCTGCAGTCTGTCATTAGCATTAACACAGCAGTTTTTGTTTTTCCAAGTCCTCTGTAATACGTTGTAGCGCTACCCCACAGGAGCTGCTGGCTGCTTGTTCTCTGATCTTGCCTCAACCCTGCTAAAGGCCTGAGCCCTTTTGGCACTCCAGCTTACACTTACATAAACAGGTAGCAGTTCATTAGCTTTTGGTAATTAATGGTCAAACCTTGAAATTAGAAACAAAACAGGTTAGCAAAATCACTGTGTATTATTTGGCAAAGATGACTCAAGAAGCATAACAATTCTCTGTTCAACAGGGCTGTGAAGTACCCAACTAAAGTACAACTGATTCAACAACAGACATGCAGGCATGAGGTGCAGGGCCATCTTTAATATTGATGGGACCCTGGGCAAACATTTTCCTGGGCCCCCCATAAAAGTTTGCTCTCCACTTGCTCTGAGACAAACAACAAATAGCAGCTAAACTCAAAATCAGTGTATTCCAGCAGATCAGACAGCAATTGCAATTGATTGCCAGAGGTTACAACATATTATTACCACTCACTGACTGGTTAATAGAGGTTACAGCACACATTACAGCTCACTGATTCATTGCTAGAGGTTACTGCACATCCTTACTGCTCACTGGTTGCTAGAGGTTTCTGCACATCCTTACCGCTCACTGATTGGTTGCTAGAAGTTACTGCACATCATTACTGGTCTCTGGTTGGTTGCTAGAGGTTACTGCACATTATTACCATTCACTGATTGGTTGTTAGAGGTTACTGCACATCATTACCACTCACCCATTGGTTGCTAGAGGTTACTGCACATCCTTACCACTCGCTGATTGATTACTAGAGGTTACAGCACTTAATTTCGTCTCACTGATTGGTTGCTGAAGGTTAGAGCACATCATCTCCTCACTGCTTGCACAACACAAACTGCGAAGGTTAGGGGACCCACCAATACACAGAAAACTCCTAGGACTCCTGGGGTCATGAGCAGTGCTGGGGGGGGAGGGTGTGATAAGTGGCAGTGCTGGGGGGGAGAGTTAATAGGATCAGTGGCATTAGTGGGGAGGATAGGATAGGTGGCAGTGCTGGGGGAATGGGATGAGTGACAGTGCTGATGAAGGGATGGGATTAGTGGCAGTATTTGGGGGTATGGGATCAGTGGCAGTGCTTTGGGTGGATGGGATCAGTGGCAGTGCTAGATGGGGATGTAAGTTGATATCTCTGCACCGACCACCAATGTTAGGGGGAATTAAAACTGATGACCAATGTAATGGGGAATCTGCACTGACCACCAATGTAATGGGGGATTTTACACCAACAACCAATATGAATTCCGCTGCTATGTACATATGAATGCCACATTGCCGCCACTATTTATATATGAATGCTGTTGTTATTTACATGTGAATGCTGACATGGTCTGCACACATGATTCATCTGTACATGACAATAGGATAGCATAAGTGACAGCACTTCACATAACCTGGGACAAAGACTTCCAGGGGCAAGGAAATGTAAACCAGTAAAGTTGGCAAATATGGGATAGCTGCTTTGGGCTCCACAACAAGGACTGGGCCCAGGGCAGTTGCCCCTTTTGCCCCCTCCTTAAAGATGGCCCTGATGAGGTGTCAGAACTTTACCTGGGTCAGCATAAACAATAGCCTTCCCACCTAATAGTGCAACAAAAGGCAGCCTTATATTAGTGCTAAAAAGGTGAGGGGAGGACTATGCTGCTGCTGCTGCATACTGGTGGCAGAAAAGCTAGGCCTGGGCTGCCACTAAACTTCAACTATTGGAATATAAGGAGAGTGTTTGATTAGCAAAAGGAACCAAGTCGCAATTCTTCAAAATAATTATTGTGCCAACTGACGTTGGAGCCCTTTAATATGTTGGCATGCTATAAGGTGTCTATTAGAACTGCATGCAGTAAGACAGTGAAAAATGAAGTGCAGTTCTGTGTGCAATACAACAAACTGGGCCAAGTGAGGAGCTAGTGTTGAGAGTAACAAAACAACCAGAGTTAATTCTGCTCACAGTATGTCTCTTCCTCCATACAGATCAAAGGTGGGTCAGGGACCACCAACTACTTGGATTGTAGCAGCAGTCTGTAAGGATGGAGGGGTCACCTTGATGTGGCAATGAGCATTTGCTGTCTCCCTGGAATCTGGCATTCAGCGTGAGTGGACCAGCTCAGAGTGCAGAGGCACTGGGGTCCTTGTAGCGACTAGCCATGCAGTGGAGCTGGTTCAGTATGCTGTACTGTATGCACTGGTCCCACTGTGACCACGGCTGAACCATGGAGCCGTGTCAGAAGGATGGGCAGAGTGGCATTGTTGTATTGCTGTGACATTCAGGGCACACAGTTTGTTCAGCGAATCAGCGTTTGTTTTAAATACCGTGACCTCTCAATCTTCCTCTCCGTAGCTTTCCTGGAGCAACCACACTGACTTGCACATGGCATCAACAACTCCCGCTCTTCCTGGGATTTTCAATAAAAACTCCCCTCAGGACTCCTTCTTCTCTCTGGGTTTATTGGGGAATGTAGTTCACAGACTCAGTTATTACACTCACTGTGCTGGCCCAGACTACATCTCCTAACATTCCCAGTGCCCTGCATTAAGCCCAGGAGATTACCTTGCTCAACAGCTAATCTGTCCCACTAGGCAATTTAGATAGAGAGAACCATTAAAGGTAGTGTCCTTCTGATGCAGGCCATAGACGGGTCGAACATCGGCTGATTTTTCGAACGATAAATGAAAAAATCGGTCGTTCCTTCGGCCGACGTTACCACCAACAAATAAAAAAATCGTCCGACTAAATCATAAATTTCACCCCATAACTTCTGTCCCTTTCAGGTCACAGCTCATGCGCAGATTTTTTATTGTTAAAACGTTCATCCGATTTGGCCATCATTGCCGGGAAAATCGGCCAATCGTCCAAATCGGCCGCAAATTTCCCAACATAACCGATAATCTGAAAGTGCAAAATACACGAAAAACGGCTGACGAACTAATCCACTAACGGTACGAAAATCGGCCGATTTTTCTTTCGGCCGAAAAATCGGACGATTAACGACCCATCTATGGCCTGCATAAGAGATTGTAGCAAAGTACCTGGCTGCAATGTTATTACTTGTTGATTCTGCCTGTGGATCCCTTAATCCTAGTAC